TTTTACTGCATGCCAACCTCAATGGGTTATTTAATGACGACAAGATTTTTACAAAACATTCGTATGAAGAGAATATATATTTTTTTCTAATGAAACTGTAGATCCGGCTTTTGTAAAGGGGATTGTCGTCGAGAGTCTGCTTTCCTTGATGTATTCTTTTCAGATACACGGTTTGTAGAGAAATTGCTTTTGACATTCACATTTGGTTTATAATTTTTGATAGAGTCCTACTGTTTTTGATAAATGATTTTAGGTGGTTATTTTATTTAATAACCTCCTTAAAATCTGTGTATGGGATTTTGGTCTTTGTATCCACATTCACATCACTTGGCTGCTAGATCTGCTTCATTATTGAATCTTTGATGCAATTACCTTCAGTTAGTTTATCAGAACATTGGTTTTAAAATCGTCCCAGTTCACTCCGCCTAATTGAAAAAGGAAAGGATTTTTATCATTATGTTCTGAATTTTGCAGAACAATTGGCAAGTGATCATTAGCGCATGTGTCCACCAGAACCTTCCAAGAGAAATCTATATAGATTGATGGATCATATGTGGATGAATCTATTGCAGAGTAGCTGCGAGTAAATGGATTTATGTAAGTCGGTGTTTTATCATTATCATTGTTGTTTATAATTGTTTTTGAAATTCTTGCATTTTGGTTTGTGTCTTTACAACCCCAGATGATGCTGTGACATTTAAACTCCACTAGTACCATAAAGAGTGAAGGGAGTTGCCTTATAATTTCATGAATTTCAACTTCATTTATTCATTTGGTGGGACATATACCGAATAAATATTGGCCTACGTAGGGTCACTTTCACAGCAGTCGCCTGTAAAGTAGTTGTGGAATTTTATTTTACTTTGGGATACATCATTCCTAACTAGAATAGATGTATCACCAGATGCACGAAGCCCAGTGTCATGTGTAATGGTTGTATTGCTGGTATTCTCTTATATTCATTTTGTTAACTTGCTTAAGGAATGTTTCCTGAAGGCAAACAACTGCTAGTGTCAAGTCTGTTATTAACAGAAGCAGTTCATTTATATTTGCCTTTATTCCACGGCAGTTCAATTGAATTATCTTATGCATGTATGTTTAAACCTTTTCGGCTTTTAGCTTATGTGGTTTTGATTTCTTTTTTCCAGGTTTTCATTTTGGAGGTTTTAACCGTTTCAGCATTATGGGGTCCCACCAACTTTTCTAGTTCGTCAAATTCGGTTTTGTATAGGAATTTGGTTGTTGTGGATTTCCAGATTTTGTTTGGCTGATTCTGTTATTTTGGGAAATAAGTTTTTCAAGTCTGTCTTTCCTGGCTTTTGGGTAGACAGATAGGAAATCATTATCACCTTTGTTTAGTAGATTTGGCACTTTTGGTAGGAGGTGTTTTGTGTTTGAGCTATCGTTTTGCTATTTTTTTTCTTTATTTCAGTTTTTATCATTGTCCTTCTTTTGCGGTTCAGCCTGCACCATTTCCTTGAAATAAAGACTTTTTAGGTAAGTTTGAAATTTGGGCCAATCATTTGGTCTCAAGTCTACAAGCTTCTCAATGGGGGCTTTGTGTTTGTCAGGCTGACCAGCATTATTTGTTGTTTTATTTTCCGTTATTTTTGTAAAGCAATGGCCCTTCATGTAACCTTTTACCATTTGCCTTGCTTCTAAAAAACTGATGTTTCTTTTATAGTTTACCTCGATAATTCCCCTTTCCTTTTTCCAGAACTAGAATTTTCTTCAGTATGCTGGATGACTTTCCTGGTAGTTAGCATATCTTATTTCATTATAGCATTCAGAATGGTCTGAATCCCTTTGGCCACATTTTTCACATGTTGGGTGACCCCTGTAGCAATCCCTATGATGTCCCAATTTTTGGCACCTAAACCATCTTAATGGAGTAGGGATATATTGTTCCACTGGCTCAATATTATACCCTATTTCTATTTTTTTGTGGGAGGTGGGGATTTCAGGCGTGCCAAAAGTAAGGATATGTGTGTCAGTTATAATTATTTCCACTTTTCTTTTAATTGAAATTCTATGGTAATCACTGACCCCTTGGCTTCCTAAGGCAGATGTAATTTCCTCAGGTGTGGCCAAAGACAACTCTTTACTTTTAGCGACTCCCATAGAAATATTCAGTCTTGCATGAGAGAAGGTTTTAATTTTGATATTATGAAAGCATATTTATTATATTTTCTATGTATTTCCCATGTCCCACCTTAACCAGTAAATTGCCATCTCTCAACTTTCTAACTGTTTTAGGATTAGCCTTCCGGATAGTACCTTTTCAATCAAGAAAGGTGAAAGTTTTGCCAGCAGAATTTTTTCTTGGAATGTGAACACAAAAATTTCTTGGAAATTACATATTAATTTATTTTTCAGAATCAGTGTCTGAAATAGATCTTTTGGGTTTTTTAGTTTGATTATTCATAATTTTTGTGTATTAAGATTCACTACCTATTCTCACCACCCACCGCGGAGCCCGACATTGGGACGTGTCAAGGTGGAAACCCAATCGCCTTGAGAGGTCAGGGCCACACAAACCAGTATACTCGTATACGAGAGAGGCTCTGAGCATCCCTTAAACCATTTGTTGCACAATAAGTGTACAAACTGGCATGCTCACCATCATGTCTGTCTAGATCTCTTCGAACTGATTGACCATCATTCATCGCCTTCTAACGCGTATAAATTGGATAGAGATGGTGTATATTTGGAGTACTGTATTTAGTTGCAAAGTACTCCATAAATTGATATAGTTATAGGCGCTTAGGCTTTTCAAGACCAGCACATTGGTCAGATCTGGCCTCTCCGACCGCCTGTTTAGTCTAAGGGCCAGTTGTGCTGGGAATCAGAAGTAACTAACTCTGACTCCTGAAGCTCTCAAACACCAGAATCCACTCGCCACTTACGGCAAAGAGGTGGCTCTACTGAGGGCGGGGGATATCTTACCTCTCTGCAGAGTTGCAGCCGGCATATTATGAAGCCCTAACCAACAGGGCGTACGGAAAATGGAATTCTGCTCTTCGACTAACAATTCAGAGCCATTATCCATTACACCTCCCGTACACCCAAACTTACAGCATTGGTAGTTGCAAACCGTCGCTCATCTAGATACTGACTAGGCTCGACGTTGCTTAATTTCGGTGATCGTATGGGGACCGGTGTTTTAACGTGATACGATTGTAAGTCATATTTATCTAGTCTAAAACTTATTTTATAGTATTGGAAACCTTACCTTATTGGTAAAGAAACAAATGTACAATATTTTGATACCAGTTTTATTATTTTATTTTTTTCTAAAGCTTATTGTGTAGGAATGGAAACCACGCCCATCAATCAAACCTCATAATTTTAAAGAGAATTAAATTTGCTTCATTTTGATACCGGTTTCATTAATCACAAAAAAACTGTATCAAATTACAGAAACCAGATCACTTGAGGACAATGGACAACAACAATGGATAGCAGATGTAACTTGTCATTACACACTACTTCAAATAAAAGGTTAGAAAGGAAAGTCCCATGAATACTGGAAGGAGCGATAAATGCTACTGAACTTGAAAAATCCATTTTCATGAAAATTTCTTTTACGATAAAGATTTGATAAATTTCAACCGACAGCAACTCGGTCAATGAATGCCAAGTGTTTCCTTATAAGGAAACGGCTAATATTACCCTTACCATTAATATATTTATTTTATAGGATTGGAGAGCTTATATATCGATCAACACTCGTATTCATTATTGTCTAAAAATTATAATGAACTATGTTTGCTTATAAAAATACCGTAAGAGTATGAAACTTTCCATTCAGATCGTTTGAGAATTTGGAGTTTGCTGAGAGTGTATATGTGAATACTTGAGCGTTTGTAGCGCAAAGAATTGTCTGTGTGACCTCGCATGCTTAAGTTCTTATATGTGTGTGTATCCTGATATGTCCACACCTGGCCAGTTCTTTTGACATCACTTATAATGTTTATACCGAGTTGCAGTATAGCATCTGGTTTATTAAAAAGGTCTGGTTTTCTATTGTGTGATTTCCTATTTTTATTTCAGTTCCTTTTTCGGCTCCGTAAAACCTTTACTGCAGCTGGATCTCTATGTTGGAGATAAAAAAAAAAGAAAAAGGTCTTTTCAGATTCATGTCAACCATGATTCGTGTCAACATATTCATTTGTGGTCAGTCGAGCCACTAACAACTGTTGGCCGCTTTAAGAAACAAAATGAAAGAAAACATGTCGACAAAACCTTGAATCTCCTCCTCCCCCTCTGTCTACGTTCGTCTTCTTTACTCTCCCGATTTCTCTCCCCACTTTCCCCGTCATTCACATCTCATTTCCACCCCACACCGATATACCACCGCCATACAGAATTAATAGAAGTCGTTGTGATGCATCTGATGTATTTTTTGCTTTTGTTTTTGTTGTTATTGGACATTCGTTTTGAATATATGAATGCCTATCTTTTGAATATAAAACCGTCAGCCATCTCTGACCCTTTTATATAAAACATCTTTTATCTTAAATTGAAACCGATCGTTGAAAGAAAATTATTATTATTATTATTATTATTATTATTATAACCAAACGCAATTCATTATTTGTAGAATTGATATAAATACAGCGCGGGAATAGATTTGTAGTTTTAAATAATAATAATAATAATAATAATCATAGGAAACAATAAAAGTTACGTAGATGACCAATTAAAGTTGTCGATGAATATTTAAAAAAATTTTTGTTATAACTTTAAACTATCTATTTCTTAAGCTTGGAAGCTGCGGACGACCTAATGGTTAACGAGGTACAGAGAATGGAATTGGTGAACCAAACCCATATCGCTCTACAGCTATGGGTAAGTTGTACAGCATTCATTCTATTCCCGTTGCTCGACAGTTCATTTCACTTCTCAGTTCATAGTCAGAAAATCCATTTTACTGCTCAGCTCTACGCTTGACAATTCATTTCATTCCTCTACTCATCATTCATTCTTTTACCTCCGGTATGACAATTCATTTCATTCCTCTGCTCATCATTCATTCTTTTACCTCCGGTATGACAATTCATTTCATACCTCTGCTCATCATTCATTCTTTTACCTCCGGTATGACAATTCATTTCATTCCTCTGCTCATCATTCATTCTTTTACCTCCGGTATGACAATTCATTTCATTCCTCTACTCATCATTCATTCTTTTACCTCCGGTATGACAATTCATTTCATTCCTCTACTCATCATTCATTCTTTTACCTCCGGTATGACAATTCATTTCATTCCTCTGCTCATCATTCATTCTTTTACCTCCGGTATGACAATTCATTTCATTCCTTTGCTCATCATTCATTCTTTTACCTCCGGTATGACAATTCATTTCATTCCTCTACTCATCATTCATTCTTTTACCTCCGGTATGACAATTCATTTCATTCCTCTACTCATCATTCATTCTTTTACCTCCGGTATGACAATTCATTTCATTCCTCTGCTCATCATTCATTCTTTTACCTCCGGTATGACAATTCATTTCATTCCTTTGCTCATCATTCATTCTTTTACCTCCGGTATGACAATTCATTTCATTCCTCCACTCATCATTCATTCTTTTACCCGGTATGACAATTCATTTCATTCTCTACTCATCATTCATTCTTTTACCTCCAGTATGACAATTCATTTTCATTCCTCTGCTCATCATTCATTCTTTTACCTCCGGTATGACAATTCATTTCATTCCTTTGCTCATCATTCATTCTTTTTACCTCCGGTATGACAATTCATTTCATTCCTCTACTCATCATTCATCCTTTTACCTCCGGTATGACAATTCATTTCATTCCTCTACTCATCATTCATTCTTTTACCTCCAGTATGACAATTCATTTCATTCCTCTGCTCATCATTCATTCTTTTACCTCCGGTATGACAATTGATTTCATTCATCTGTTCATCATTCATTCTTTTACCTCCGGTATGACAATTGATTTCATTCCTCTGCTCATCATTCATTCTTTTACCTCCGGTATGACAATTCATTTCATTCCTTTGCTCATCATTCATTCTTTTACCTCCGGTATGACAATTCATTTCATTCCTCTACTCATCATTCATTCTTTTACCTCCGGTATGACAATTCATTTCATTCCTCTACTCATCATTCATTCTTTTTTTACCTGCGGTATGACAATTCATTTCATTCCCTCTGCTCATCATTCATTCTTTTACCTCCGGTATGACAATTCATTTCATTCCTTTGCTCATCATTCATTCTTTTACCTCCGGTATGACAATTCATTTCATTCCTCTACTCATCATTCATTCTTTTACCTCCGGTATGACAATTCATTTCATTCCTCTACTCATCATGCATTCTTTTTTACCTCCGGTATGACAATTCATTTCATTCCCTCTGCTCATCATTCATTCTTTTTACCTCCGGTATGACAATTCATTTCATTCCTTTGCTCATCATTCATTCTTTTACCTCCGGTATGACAATTCATTTCATTCCTCTAATCATCATTCATTCTTTTACCTCCGGTATGACAATTCATTTCATTCCACTACTCATCATTCATTCTTTTACCTCCAGTATGACAATTCATTTCATTCCTCTGCTCATCATTCATTCTTTTACCTCCGTCATGACAATTCATTTTATTCCTCTGCTCAACATTCATTCTTTTACCACCGGTATGACAATTCATTTCATTCCTCTACTCATCATTCATTCTTTTACCTCCGGTATGACAATTTATTTCATTCCTCTGCTCATCATTCATTCTTTTAACTCCGGTATGACAATTCATTTCATTCCTCTACTCATCATTCATTCTTTTACCTCCGGTATGACAATTCATTTCATTCCTCTGCTCATCATTAATTCTTTTACCTCCGGTATGACAATTCATTTCATTTCTCTACTCATCATTCATTCTTTTACCTCCGGTTTGACAATTCATTCCATTCCTCTACTCATCATTCATTCTTTTACCTCCGGTTTGACAATTCATTTCATTCCTCTGCTCATCATTCATTCTTTTACCTCCGGTATGACAATTGATTTCATTCCTCTGTTCATCATTCATTCTTTTACCTCCGGTGTGACAATTGATTTCATTCCTCTGCTCATCATTCATTCTTTTACCTCCGGTATGACAATTCATTTCATTCCTCTGCTCATCATTCATTCTTTTACCTCCGGTATGACAATTCATTTCATTCCTCTGCTCATCATTCATTCTTTTACCTCCGGTATGACAATTCATTTCATTCCTCTGCTCATCATTCATTCTTTTACCTCCGGTATGACAATTCATTTCATTCCTCTGCTCATCATTCATTCTTTTTTTACCTCCGGTATGACAATTCATTTCATTCCTCTACTCATCATTCATTCTTTTACCTCCGGTATGACAATTCATTTCATTCCTCTGCTCATCATTCATTCTTTTACCTCCGGTATGACAATTCATTTCATTCCTCTACTCATCATTCATTCTTTTACCTCCGGTATGACAATTCATTTCATTCCTCTGCTCATCATTCATTCTTTTACCTCCGGTATGACAATTCATTTCATTCCTCTGCTCATCATTCATTCTTTTACCTCCGGTATGACAATTCATTTCATTCCTCTGCTCATCATTCATTCTTTTACCTCCGGTATGACAATTCATTTCATTCCTCTGCTCATCATTCATTCTTTTTTACCTCCGGTATGACAATTCATCCTCATTCCTCTACTCATCATTCATTCTTTTACCTACCTCCGGTATGACAATTCATTTCATTCCTCTACTCATCATTCATTCTTTTTACCTCCGGTATGACAATTCATTTCATTCCTCTGCTCATCATTCATTCTTTTTACCTCCGGTATGACAATTCATTTCATTCCTCTGCTCATCATTCATTCTTTTACCTCCGGTATGACAATTCATTTCATTCCTCTACTCATCATTCATTCTTTTACCTCCGGTATGACAATTCATTTCATTCCTCTGCTCATCATTCATTCTTTTTTTACCTCCGGTATGACAATTCATTTCATTCCTATGCTCATCATTCATTCTTTTACCTCCGGTATGACAATTCATTTCATTCCTCTACTCATCATTCATTCTTTACCTCCGGTATGACAATTCATTTCATTCCTCTACTCATCATTCATTCTTTTTACCTCCGGTATGACAATTCATTTCATTCCTCTACTCATCATTCATTCATTTTTACCTCCGGTATGATGACAATTCATTTCATTCCTCTGCTCATCATTCATTCTTTTACCTCCGGTATGACAATTCATTTCATTCCTCTACTCATCATTCATTCTTTTACCTCCAGTATGACAATTCATTTTCATTCCTCTGCTCATCATTCATTCATTCTTTTACCTCCGGTATGACAATTCATTTCATTCCTCTGCTCATCATTCATTCTTTTTACCTCCGGTATGACAATTCATTTCATTCCTCTACTCATCATTCATTCTTTTACCTCCGGTATGACAATTCATTTCATTCCTCTGCTCATCATTCATTCTTTTTACCTCCGGTATGACAATTCATTTCATTCCTCTACTCATCATTCATTCTTTTACCTTCGGTATGACAATTCATTTCATTCCTCTACTCATCATTCATTCTTTTTCCTCCGGTATGACAATTCATTTCATTCCTCTACTCATCATTCATTCTTTTACCTCCGGTATGACAATTCATTTCATTCCTCTGCTCATCATTCATTCTTTTACCTCCGGTATGACAATTCATTTCATTCCGCTGCTCATCATTCATTCTTTTACCTCCGGTATGACAATTCATTTCATTCCTCAAAACATCGCCTGGCAGTCCATTTCACTCCTCTGTTCATCATCTAACAATTAATTTCATGTTTTCGTCCATTTCCTGACAACCCATTTCACAACTCTGATCAGCATCTAACAACTCATTTCATTTCTTAGTCTCCTGTATGACATTTCATTTCATTCCTCAAGACATATCCTGACAATTTATTCAATTCCTCAAGACATCTCCTGACAATCCATTTCACTCCTCTGCTCATCATCTAATAATTCATTTGATTCCTTGACCCCTAATATGAAAATTTATTTAATTCCTCAAAGCATCACCTGACAATCCATTTCACTCCTCAGATCATCATCTAACAATTCATTTCATTTCTTAGTCTCTTGCACGACATTTCATTTCATTCCTCAAGACATATCCTGACATTTTATTTCACTCCTCTGCTCATCATGCTCATCATGTAAGAATTCATTTCATTCCTTAGGCTTTCAAATAAAAATTAATTTAATTCCTCAAAACATCCTCTGAGAATTCATTTCACTCAAACAAGTCATTACATTTCTTTTTCCCTTATATGACAATTCATTTCACTCTCCTGCTCATCGTTTGACAATTCAAAAACAATCACGTGTGTACAGTTTTCCGAGCAAAGAGGCAACCATCATATATATATATATATATATATATATATATATATATACGGCATATAGACACATATATACTCCTGCATAGTCGTATATACATGCATGTGAAGAAATTGAATTATGTTGAATCATTCCAATAAGTAAATTTCCTTTCGTCGGTGTTTTGTCTTCTATGTAGAAATGGGAGACTATAGATAAGTCATCAGTTTATTTCCTGAATTATGGTTTGCAATATTAACATCGTCTTTATGTGTCGTGTCCCCTCAGGACGAAGATGATCATGGGTATCCACAATTTCCTGTCCCTTGTATCTCTTAATAATCTTTGTCGTCTTTCTGTTATTGCTCCGAAACCATTCATTTACTCAAGCCCATAAAGTATCTTATACGCTGTTTTAACCTGTTTTGCCCTCTATGTGTCTCGTGAGTATTAGAATTTCCAGACCCTCCTTCCTTCCTTCCGCACTTGTTTGATTTTGGTACCCCCGATTTGCAATTCGCACTTAGAGCTCATCCTTTTGCTAACAACCATACATTCTGTCTTCTTGCAGTTGATGTTTAATCCTTTCTTCTCGCTTTTCTTCATTGCTTTCTGTAGGAGTTTTTGTAGCTTTCTTTCAGTCTACTATAACATCTCCAAAAATAACTGCCACACTGACGAGATGTTACAACAATTAAGAAGCTGCTGTTTTGCTTGTTTAATAAAAGTGTTCGCTTCCTTACGATATGTATTTTGATTTGCAGATTCCCGGCTTTCTTCATGCTCGCTGACAGATACTATTACGATTGGGAATGTTTTTCGATTTCAAAAACGTTTTCTTTTGCATAATTTAAAAAAAAAATATCGAGATGTATAACTAGATTTAAATTACTGAAATAAAGAATTCATGATTTAATAAATAAATATAGGAATTTAACCTTCGTAAAGAATTTCAAATCCTCGACAAATCATTTGGTCTATTTTATAGTTATTAATGAATGCAATATTTGAAAAAAAAAATGAAATATAACACATCGAGTATATAACACTCAAAGTTAGTGTACGTGTTTTTTCTTTCGTAACACTGACAATTAATTAAATATATAAAAATAATTATGTTTCCGTGTATACATTCCTTATATTACATCAAGCTGTAACAACAAATAAGTACATTTTTCATTTAAATCCAACAACATTTAACTTTTTATCATAGTCAATTAAATTTTACAAAATAGCTGTGTTACAACCTTCTCTTTTGTGATCTCAATGAATAAGAGGTCATTTTGTTGATGTATTTTAAAATTAAATTGATTGTTTATTCAAATAAAGACATTTTATGACCTGAAGGTGGTAACCACCTGAGCATTTTGATCACAGCTTGGATGTAGTAAACTGAAGTAAACAGTGTATAAAAGGAAGTAAGAAATGCTGATATTTAATTGTATGTTTTGAAAATCTAACATAATAATTATAATATTATAACATGCTACACAAGAAAGAAAGAAATCCTAATGTGTATAATTCTATCGGACGAATTAATTATTAGATAGTAATATAAGAAGCAAGAACAGATTAGAAATTTCAAGAACTTATTTTACATTTTAAGAAATTTCGTAGTATGAAAATATTTTTTTGCCATCCGTAGTATAAACTTAAAATAAATTTGCATAGAAAATCGAACCCCTATTCACTCTTATAACATTCCATTAAAAAATTATATTCGTGATCTTTACTGATATTCGCTAATCAATATATATATATATATATATATATATATATATATATAATCGATTCGACGTATGAGGGTCAGGCCGATAAGTCCCCAGGAAACCGACATCCCGACACCGGCACATGAGATTTGATTATAGTGGTGAAGGCCTCGTGCAGGACCAGCAACACTTTTTGGAGGGACGAATACAGAAACCTGGTGCACCGAATGCATGCCACAAGGTTCCCAAACGACCCTCTGCAGGTTTTGAATTCAGAGTTGTCCTTCTCCTAGACCAGTTGCCATCCAAGGCTATAGAACCCAGTCTGTCCTGCTATTTTACCCATAGCTGGAGGGAGATGAAGAGGATACATACCTTTCCCAAGGGTATTAGCACGTAAGTGAATGTAATGTATATATATATATATATATATATATATATATATATATATATATATATATATATATCCAGGTAAGTTGATCTTTATGACCCTATATTATCAACATATTAACATTATCATAGGTGCTAAGGTTATACAGAATGTATAAACCCACCAGGTCAGAAGACTATTGCAGAATCTAATGATCCCATTGAGATATCATAGTAATCATTAGAATTTTTAACCCACTGTTCATTATTGTAGATGTGAACTGATCTTCTATAGTTCATTCTTTTATTTATTTCTTTACTGGAGATATTAGAATATTACTTGGCGAATTCCAAAGCCAGGGTAAAGTGATCTGAAGAAATGGAAATAAAATCCACAATATCAAACTGGGGTAGCTGCTTTTGTTAGTAATTTCTCTGAACCAATTAATGAACTCTGTGGTATTAATCCAGTGTATAACTCCAAGGCGTCGTTTAATATGTTTAATTTCTTCTATATATGTTTAATTTCATGTATATAACACGTATATTTTTTCTATATAACACTATATTTTTTTTTAAATAAAAGGATGTATTTTTGCTATTGAGAACAAATTAATCGTTCACTCATCAGTAATTTACAATCGCCTGAAGAGAAGCAATGGCATGCGTTGAAACACGACTGCAAATTTGTAGCGATTTTTGCATGTCGTTTTAATATCCTAAAATTTATGCACACACACACACACACACATATATATATATATATATATATATATATATATATATAAAGGTAGGATGTGTGTGTAACGAATGCACGGCCGCAATTTTTGACGGATTTGCACCAAAATTTACATGCACATGCTCCAAGTTAGCGGGAAGGCCAAGACCGACTTTGCATTTCCCAACTTCCATCGATAATGGAAATAATCGATTTTTTCATGCTTCTACGGCAGTTTTCATGTAGTTTGCGGCCATTTTGTACTGGCCAGAGTGAGAGCCTATAGCTGGCTGCCACGAATAGGCAGGAAGATTCTATTGGCCAGCGTGAGAGCCAACAGCTGACTGAAATGAATGTTAACTAGGATGGTAGCATGCTAAAAAAAAATCGATAGCTGCATTTGTCACAAGTGGGAAAAATTTAAATCTGCATGGCACTTTACTCCAATTGGCTAATTCGCTTGCTTAAACTAAATGTTGATTCTGATTCCGCAGAACCGGGTTGGGTGTGAAAAAGTATTTGTTAACATTCTTTTTTCATTTGGTTTTTCCAGTTACGAGTCCTTTTTTAAAGCTGATCGTTTTATGCTCATTTTGTTTAGTTCTTTTTTCGTAACAGATTTAATGTTTACTATAAAGCTTAGAAAAAATTCGCAGTGTGAGATAGGCAAGAAGTAAGGCATGTAGCAATATCAGCACGGCAAAGGGCACTTCTTTAAAGGCAAGGAAGGGCAAAAATATTTGAAGTCAAGTAATAGCGATTGCTGTATTAGTCGTACGATTTTTGAATCAAGCACAGGCAACGCCGGGCCATGCTGCTAGTATATATATATATATATATATATATATATATATATATATATATATATATATAATATTTAATATGTATATATATATATATATATATATTATTTAGATATTATACATGCGGTACTTATTGGAAAGCGCTCAATATCGGTGATAGAGTTAACATACTTATTTGTATTGATGTGAGTTTGTGACCCTGGGTTTCACTCCATTGCGATCATCAGACAAACTCACACAATATAAGTTGGTCTGACGATCGCAAGGGCTTGAAACCCTGGGTACACAAACTCACATCAAGACAACTAAATATATATTGCTGCATTTAAGAACTACCGTATCTTAAAAAGCTTCAACTATTTTTAAAAAATAAAA